GTTAACTTTCTATCCCTTGGCATTCCTTTTTGTAAAGTGGATTGTAGACGAGACCTTTTAAGGGGGCTCCCAGCTTTAATGTCCTTTGATGAGTTTAAGATGTTAGGCAATATTCAAACAGATTGAGTTGTTAAGTTGCATTTCGTTTGTAAGATACTTCTCAGACTGAATGATTCTCTATTCCATTGGACATTCTTGCAATATTACTAAAATAAAGTTAAGAAGCAAGGTAATTGACTAATTGTTAGAATAAGCATTTAGTTTTGTGTTGTCCATTAAGTCCTTTGAGAGTTGTCAGTAAAGGTACTCTTAAGGCATGAAATTTCATTACTTCCTCTCAATGATACCTTTGTTCTTCTGGATAGAGACTGAAAAGGGATGGTGAGTTCATGTTCCTTCTTCTACTGAGGTTTCAGCTTTATAGGTTGCAGTTTATTGACTCAGAGGGTCAACACCTTATGGCCATCCTGCAAAATGGTTAGTGGAAAGGAAATGTCTGAAGACCGAAAGATGCAGATGCACCTGTGAACAATTCATAATTGAAAGCAGTAGAGTATTTAATTTTAGGAATCTGGGAGTTTCATTCAGCTCTCCCCTCCACACACACTTTTTTTTTTTTTAAATGATGAAACTGAAATCTGGAGAGAATAAATGATTAGACCAAGGTTATACCTTTACTGGTTACTTTTAGAATAACAGGAGAACTCAGATCTGTAGAATGCCAAGAGAATGTCACGATAACGCATGATGTCTGATATCAGCTGAAAAAAGCCTTTCAGTTTATCTAAACATTGACCGCCAAAGGTATATTCAGGGTTCCTATCTGTTTAAAAATGGCTTACCACTTGCATTAGGATTGTCATTATGTTTATAACATAAATATGACATTTGAATTCAGTTAAAGCAGATGTCCTCAGGAGCAGTCAGTATTGTCTGGCATTTGGCTGTTGCAAGGATCTGTTTTCTAGTTAGTAAGTCTTTAGGAAATAACTTGTATGGAAATTTTTTTTTTTTTTTTTTTTTTTTTTTGCGGTACGCGGGCCTCTCACTGTTGTGGCCTCTCCCGTTGCGGAGCACAGGCTCTGGACGCGCAGGCCCAGTGGCCGTGGCTCACAGGCCCAGCTGCTCCGCGGCATGTGGGATCTTCCCGGACCAGGGCACGAACCCATGTTCCCTGCATCGGCAGGCGGACTCTCAACCACTGCCCCACCAGGGAAGCCCTGGAAAATATTTTAATGCTGCTATCTGTGAAATTAGTCAGAGGGGTGAATGAAGTGGAAAAATGATTTAGAGAAGAGAGAAATAGCCATTTGGGCAGAAGTATAGTTGATGAGATGTTATTTTAACCCTACTCTGTTGCTGACTGTTACACAAGACTGTAAAGATGGCCAAATTTTTGATGTCTAGATATTCTTCATAGGCCTGGAAGAGTATGTTCCAACTCCTAGGTATTTGGGAAGAATTGTCTGAAAAGCACAAAGTGTTTGGTGCTAAAGATATTAGCTGTATTCATTTGCACTGGCATAGAATATCATTAACATCTGTCCCCAAATACCAGCTGGGGGCTTTGACTTTGGCTGTAGCCACTTACCTATACACATTTGGGTTAAGTCCCAGGGAAAGGAAGACAAAGCAGATTTCATTTATTTATTAATTAAAAAATTTAATGGCCCCAAATCTTATAAAAATAAACTTGATTTTTATACTTTTGGGCCTGCCTGGTGAATGCAAGCTTTTACATTTTTGTGATGACTTTTTCCACTTTCTGTGGATTTTCAGTGCTAATTCTCTCTTCCTCTGCTGCTCCTGCTTAGCAGCCCCCGCCGCCCCCGCCTTCTTAGTGGCCTAGTCTTTTTGTTACAATAATGAGGATGGTTTACTTAGAACTACTAACTCATATGCAGTTGTCACTTAGGCTCCAGAGGTCTTGGCACGTTTACTTGTTGAGAATTACTCATGGCCATTGTTTTGTAGACCTTGAAAGAAGCTCTTGCAGCCTGTCCTGTGCTGAGTAACAAATTTAATTAAAGCCGTCATTCAGGAAGCTTTACTGGGGCCCTTGTGTTTATTCCACAGATTCAAAATGATCAGTGCCAGGAGATGGACACCACTGCTGACAAGTGGGTAAAACTCACCGACAGTGGAGCATGGGGCTCTCATTCTGTAAGTTTCTCTCTGTCCTCCGCTTCCCACCAACCCCATCCTTCTCCTTCCTTCCTTTTCCCAACCTTTTTTTTTTTTTTTTTTTACTACAGAAGACTCAAATTTTAATTTGAAATTCGTTGTAGCCTCTCCCGTTGCGGAGCACAGGCTCTGGACGCGCAGGCTCAGCGGCCATGGCTCACGGGCCCAGCCGCTCTGCGGCGTGTGGGATCCTCTCGTCCCGGACCGGGGCACGAGCCCGTGTCCCCTGCATCGGCAGGCGGACTCTCAACCACTGCGCCACCTGGGAAGCCCTTTCCTGCCTTTCTGTTTCTTCTTCGCTCCGTCTTCCTGCTCTTTCCCATCACACTCCAACTCTCTTCCTTTTAAGAGGGGCATTAATAGGAAGGAAGTCTACTCAAAACTAATATACAGAACCTCTGAGTATGTAAGTTTACAGATGTGGCAATCACATGAAAGAGAATCCGTGACTCTTGGCATTGGAAGGATCCTTGAGTTTCTTTCATCCAACTTTCTCTGCAGTCTCCCCAACAAATGATTTTCAAGCTTGTCTTGTTGGGGACTGTGCCGACCCCATTGTTTGACAGCTCTACATATTACAAAATTCATCCATGTCTGGAGCTGAAACCTGCTTTCTGTCTTATCTATTCATCACCCATTGTTCAAAGTTCTACCCTTTCTGGTTGTGTTTGGTAGACTACTTACTTCTTTAAGGACGACTCTAAGTGCTTGAAGGCAATTATCAGGTAACACAGTCTCTGAACCTATTATTATTTGAGGCCTTTGGAGTGAGACATGGATTTAAAATCTAACTTTGATTTATAGTAGTTGTGTTTCTTTAGGCAATTGACTTCGTCTCTTTGATATTTCATAAGAGAAATGGGACCAATCTTGCAGAGTTAAATGAGATGATACATGGGGAGGGCCTAGTGTGGTGCCTGCAGTACAGATTGGACACTGTTGCAATACGTGACCGCCCATCCTTGCCTTTGTGTTGTAGCAGGTACCTCATCCTTTTTTGTTTTGTTTTGGGTTTTTTTTGATTTTTTTTTTTTTTTTTCTGCATTGGGTGTTTTTTGCTGCATGTGGGCTTTCTCTAGTTGCGGCCAGCAGGGGGCTACTCTTCCTGTGGTGGGCGGGCTTCTCACTGCGGTGGCTTTTCTTGTTGTGGAGCACGGGTTCTAGGTTCGCGTGCTTCAGTAGTTGCAGCACGTGGGCTCAGTAGTTGTGGTTCGTGGGCTGTAGAGCACAGGCCCAGTAGTTGTGGCACACGGGCTTAGTTGCTCCGCGGCATGTGGGATCTTCCCGGCCCAGGGACTGAACCTGTGTCCCCTGCATTGGCAGGCAGATTCTTAACCAGTGCACCAACAGGGAAGTCCAGGTACCTCATCGTTGAGTGATTAATATGATGCACCCTTTCAGAGTACTTTTTTGATCTGTATGCCTGGAAGTGATATTAGTACCACTTAAGATCCATTCACCTAAGCATTCAGTCCGCTGGGCTTTGAAGGTACAAGTAACCCTTGGCAAGAAATATGCTTTCTTCACTTACAAAGACTTAACACAAAAGGAAGGTACTTAACACAGTACTTCTCTGAATCTCTGGCAGGGTAAAGTAGTCAGATATGTTTTAATTTTATACTGCTTGAATTTGGCCAGCCAGAGACTGCAGAGAAGAGTAGAGTGGCAAATGAGAAAGCAAGGCACCCTTAACATTAGTTTACCTGACTGAATCAGCATGAAACTGATCAGAAAAGTAGTTTGATTTATAAATATAAAAATGTACTGGTGGCAAAGGAAGCAAATATTAGACGTGGTATCATTTAAGTTCTGGAGTCATAGAGTTAAATCGGGTTATTCTGTAAGAATAGTCCTATTTTTCTCTTGTTGCTGCTGTTGCAGTGTTTTTTGTTAAGTAATTTTAAAATGAAGCAAACTCATTCTGTTACCTTTTTGTTTTCAGAGCCCAAAGATCTACTTATGACTAGTGGCAGCCAATCAATATGTAATTGGGCTAAGTGCCTTTCACTGTCTAAAATGAGTCCCTTTGAAATATAAACCAAGGCTTCATGCAAATGATTTGAAAATCATTTTATCTTTTATCATGCTTGAAGAATTTTCTTTTCCTTTTATCATTACTATATTTTGGGGGTTGGCAAACTATTTTTTTTTAGAATTGAAGCAGAGCTTAGGTCTCAATTAACAGTAGATTTAAATTTGTGGGTTCCATATAATGGTGTTTCATTATAATGCATTGAATAGTGTATAAGAGATTAGCTTCTAGATATGGTTGTAGGTCGCATGGTTTATCTGACCTGAGTATCTTGTGTTCTCTTTATAGGTAATGTTGAAATCAGGTACAAACATACTGTACTGGAGAACTACAGGCATCCTTATGGGTTCCAAGGCAGTCAAGCCAGTGTTGGTAAAAAATATCACAATTGAAGGTATTTCACAGCAGTCTGCTCTGGTAGTCACCTGTCACATTTAATAGTTAGTTAAAATATTGATTACTTTGTTGGTTTTGCTGGCTCACGAGGATTTAGGACAGAAATTAATATGTTAGACATCATATAGGCCTAGAGACCCTGGTTTTATTCTTGGCAAATTGACGGGGATTTTTTTTTTCCTATCCCTAAACTGAATTATTTAATCTGTGTGGAAAAAGTAAACATAATGACAATTGTAGGTGTCTTTAAATAAAAGAAAATAATATTGATTAATAAGATCCTACTCTTCATTCGAGAACTCTCTGTTGTGCTGGCATAGTGCTTATTCAGGTCACCACTATATCCCTAAAAATAACAGTGAAATAGATATCTTGGCCTGACTGTCTCCTACACCTTTTGCCTCTCTGAACCAGCTGTGCATTTTCTGGCTCAGAAGAGTAGCCAGTAAACCCTGGCATGGTTCATTCTCAATTAGGGCTACTTTTAATTAAAGCAGTTGATTCTCCTTTATTAAAGTTGGGCTTAACGTTTTAGTATGTTCTAGGTACACCTGTTTCTGTGACGCTAACTCATTAGTCATAGGGACATCTGCTGGCAAAGGCTGGAATTACAAGCCAGAAGAAAAGTCGAGCCTTTCCCAAGGTCCCTTAGGTCTTGTCAGCTACGTAGTTAACAGTGGAGAAAAAGGGAGCAGGTGGCCACAAAGATGAGAGAATGGTATAGAATTGGAGGGAACCTTAGAGTTTATGCCCCTTCTGATTAGTGGAGTTGCCTTTTGACAGCTGAGTTTATACATTGACTGTATACCTCTGTCAAGTCTGAATCTCTTGTTGAAGTGTTTGCTCCACTTATGTGTGCAATTCAGTATCCAGCCCAGTTCCTTGCACATAGTAAATACATTTTTGATGTTGAATTAATGGGATATAAAAGACCTGGGCTAAGCTTATTGTTAATACTTCTCTCTCACTTCTGGTAGAGGCAGCAAGGACGCACTGATTTGCTTGTTGCTGTTGGGTCCTCCCATGCTCTCTCTGTTTCCCATTACCACACAGGGGTGGCATACACATCGGAATGCTTTCCATGCAAGCCTGGCACCTTCAGCGATGAACCAGGTTCATTCATCTGCCAAGTTTGTCCCAGAAACACCTATTCTGAGAAAGGAGCTAAAGAATGCATCAAGTGTGACGAGGACTCCCAGTTTTCAGGTAAAATGAGTCTCCAGTTTATACTCTTTGTTCTTTTCTTTCTAAATTTGTGTTTGTTGAGAGTATATAGTCATAAGCCAGAAATCACACATACGATGTGATGGAAACAGTGGGCCAGAAACCAAAGTGCTGAACGGATTCCATACTGAGTGGGTAAAATAGGATGTCTAATTACCCCTTTCTGCAGGACTTTTCTCTTTGTCTGTAATGTTTTCTATTCCACCCCCGCCCCCAAGGTAACTGTTTTGGATATGTTTATACTTGTCTAAAAAGGTTCATATTGTACTTTTAGATGATTCCTTGGCATGGAGATGTACTTAGAAACTTTTAATTTGTTCCAAATTTACAACATTCTGTGATAATGGAGGAAATCTAATGTCTTCTTGGAAAAACTGTGACATGCTCCTTGTGTATCATGGAAACATTTATTGCTCTATAGGGAAAAGAAAAATGCAGGCCTTTTATTCTTTAGGCCTAGCTAGTTCTACCTAAATTCCTTTGGTGCAGAGTTACTTTTACTTTTCACTTGTCTACTTTTTGTTTGTTTGTTTTCATGTTTGCCTTTTCTTAGAGTCACAACATAAATGACTCATTTCTGAAATTCGTTTTCCTGTTGCAGAAGAAGGATCCAGCAAGTGTAAGGAGCGTCCTCCCTGTACCACAAAAGACTATTTCCAGATCCACACTCCATGTGATGAGGAAGGAAAGGTACAGGCCGTGTTCAGTCAGCTCCAGCCCACATTTATCCACCCTTTTCCCAATTTGAGCAGACTCGAATTTGTTCATGAGAGAGTTAAATGAGTAGATTTATATAGTATGTGTGTGTAAGTAGCACGCAGGAAATTTAAGGTTTTAGACTCTGAAGCCCACCTTCCCAGCTTTCATTTTCGTATCTGCTGCTTTTTAGTGCTGTGGGCAAGTTATTTGCTCTAAGTCTCAGTTTTTTCATCTGTAAAACGGGAATAATGTCAGTACCTACTTCTTAAGGCTGCCATGAGAGTACATGAAATATTCAATTTAAGGTTCTTAGCATAGTGCCTGGCACATAGTGAGTGCCCAATCAATTACTGCTGTTTTGCGGTACGCGGGCCTCTCACTGTTGTGGCCTCTCCCGTTGCGGAGCACAGGCTCCGGACGCGCAGGCTCAGCGGCCATGGCTCACGGGCCCAGCCGCTCCACGGCGTGTGGGATCTTCCCGGACCGGGGCACGAACCCGCGTCCCCTGCATCGGCAGGCGGACTCTCAACCACTGCGCCACCAGGGAAGCCCCAATTACTGCTATTTTTAACAGTTACATTTTTGTCAGAATTAATATCAGGAGAAGCACAGCCTTAAAGTGTGTTCTGTGACTCACAGGATGGAAATACTGTGTAACTTCTCTTTAGTTATTTGGTTACTCAGTAGGTTTGGTCAATAAAAGCCATGCAGCCATAGGCTGATTCAGTTATGGCAGATTGCTGTGTAATTGCATTTAGAAAATGCAAAGTAATTACCATATAAATGGCACTTAGCCAGAGGAATAATGCACACAGGAACTCTGCAGTTGACCTGCCATTGTCTTAATTAAAAAGTTAGGGACTTCCCTGGTGGTCCAGTGGTAAAGAATCTGCCTTACAGTGCAGGGGACGTGGGTTTGATCCCTGGGCGTGGAACTAAGATCCTGCATGCTGCGGGGCAACTAAGCCCGTGCGCCACAACTATTGAGCTTGGGCACCCTGACTAGAGAGCCCACGTGCCGCAAACTACAGAGCCCGTGCGCCACAACTAGAGAGAGAAAAACCTGCAGCCACAACTAGAGAGAAGCCCGCGTGCCACAATGAAAGATCCTGTGTGCCTCAACGAAGATCCTGCGTGCTGCCATTAAGACCCGATGCAGCCAAAAATAAATAAATAAATCTTAAAAGAAAATAAAAAAATAAAAAGTTAGCCATACCAGCCTATGTCAGTAGGAGAAACTGTGGTTAAGGTGGCTGTGCTGCAGCATTCTTTGTGTGTTTTTTGCATCTTTGAAATAATGACATTTAATTTCTTGACCTATACAGTTTGTAACATATACAGAGATGTCAGTATTTCTTTTCTTAATTTTGTATCCTTGTAACATATACAGAGATGTCAGTATTACTTTCTTTTCTTAATTTTGTATCCTTAGGTTCTAATCTGTAATTTTTATATTTGTATAATTGTTAATCTTACCCTTAGTCCTTAGGTTTTTTAAAAAAGAATTCACTTTTGAATACTTAAGACCAAGTGTATTCTTGTGTTTTACAGTACAGCAAGTACTTACTAACTCAGAATAGGTCAAAGGAAGGCCAGTTTAAATTAGTGGAAAATTTCAATGATTAGAAGTACATCTATTACTTTTAATAAGAACAGTAACTCCAACAGCTTTTAAGTGACAAGGAGTTATGAAGTAAGATCTTGAATGCCCTACTATAATGGTCAAGTGAGGCCTATTTCTATTTGGAAAATATATGTAGAGAGCCGTTAAGGTGGGTTGAAAGTAACCTGGAATAATGTTTCTTTAACTAAACTTTTCTTAGCTAAACTTTCCTTATTAATGAGTAAGGCAAATTAAATTTAGTTTATTTTATGTAATAGTCATTAATTCAGCTTTACTGAAGCTTAAATGAATGAGATCCAGTATACAAATAGATCTTGATTTTGCTATAATGAAAGTATTCAAAATTCATATTTTTAGTATGTCAGTGAGTAGTTTTTATTATGTCAGTGAATAGAGTGACAAAATCTAGTTGACCTGGGCTTAAGGAAGTAAAGCCATATATTAAAATATATTAAATATAGAATGTACAGAATACACACACATGCGCACACATACACGTATATGCACATGTGTACACCCACAGGTGTATTGTGTACACACATACACACAAATTACGCTCTTTCTGTTGTGTCTGGGTAAACTCTGAACTTGTTCTTGGTATAGAACAGAACAGTGTACCGGCACACCATAAACTCAGACATTCTTTTTTTTTTTTTTTTTTTTTGGAGTAGAGTTGATTTACAATGCTGTGTTAGTTTCTGCTGTATAGCAAAGTGATTCAGTTATACATATACATATATCCACTCTTTTTTTAGATTCTTTCCCCATATGGGTAATTACAGAGTATTGAGTAGAATTTCCTGTGCTGTACAGTAGGTCCTTATTAGTTATCCATTTTATATCAGTGATTCTTTAAAAACCGCTTTAAGACTTAATTCAAGAGAAATGTTTCTAGCTTCAGAAGTGAACAAAATGCAATGGGAACTTCATTAGGTAACAGATATAGTGAAGAAGTGTGAATAACACATGTGAATTTGAATTTTTTTCTATTTTTGTTTGTTTCAACATTTTCATTTGTTGTGGTTTCATCTTTTTAAGAGGTATGTTATTCTTGCTTGGAGTAGCCTGGTGATTTCCTGGTGGCTTAGTGATGTTTCCCAGGTTGTTCAACGACTGTGTTTTGGCTCTTTTTGTCCTGTCATACTCTTTTTCATCGTATTTTCCCCATGCTTGGAGAGGATCATCAAGGGAAGTGGCTCTTGAGGTATACAGACTTTGAACATTATAATTTATACGACACAGGAACGTTCAAGTTTTTGAAGCTTCATTATTTGATTGCTTCCTGCCTCTAGGAGACTTTTTTTTTTTTTTTTTTTTTTTT